GATGGATATCCAGTTATGCCAGCACCATTTGTTAAAGAGACTGTGTTTTCCCCAATTAATGGACTTTGGGCCTTTGTCAAATATCAGCTGCTCATAGGTAGAACTGTTTTATATGGGATCAAATTGATGACAGCAACTGGAAAGATTAGATAGGAACCTTAGGGGGCAGTGAGTTTATGTTAATGGGGGAGGAACAACTCAGAAAAGGAGGGTGAGAATGGTTGCAAAACTCAAAGAACGTAATCAATGTCACTAAATTGTACCTGTAGAAACTGCTGAGTTGGTATGTTTTGCTGTGTATATTTTCAACAACAACAACAAAATAAATAAAATTTAGAGAATTAAAAAAAAAAAAAAAAGACTAGTCTAGGGCCAATACGTGTGAAAATTAGACTGGTAAAAACACGAGATGTGGCCACACGTGACCCTGAAAAGATGAGCTAATGAACAGTGAGCCTCGGTCCCTGGGCGCCCCTTGGGTGGGATGGGGCGAGGGCTCCGAGCTGGTTCTTTCTGAATCTGGCTGCTTACTGCCTTGCTCTCTCCTCTCTCCTCATGCAGATTGTAATGTAGCAGACCCAGCCATGGCGGCCCCACAGCTGGGTCCCAGCCAAGCCCCCCAACTGCCCCTCAGTGAGAGCAGCGCACCAGGCCCCCCTCATGGCCCCCCACCAGGCCTGCGGCCTGATGCCCCCGGGAGCGGGGGCGGGGGCGTCCCTGGAAAGCCGCCTTCACAGTTCGTATATGTCTTCACCACCCACCTGGCCAACACGTAAGTGCCTCAAGGGAGGCCAAGTCTGCTCTGTCTCCCCAGCCTTTAGGGTCCTCCGGGGGTCTAGGAGTGAGCACAACCCCTCCCCTGGGGCCCTGAGGCAGCTCATGCAGGGGGCAGGGCTGGGTGAGGCAGGGCTCCCTCCTGCCCACCTCTCTGAGCTGTCTGCCCCAACCCTCTGGTGCAGGGCCGCAGAGGCAGTGCTCCAGGGTCGGGCAGACTCCATCCTCGCCTACCACCAGCAGAATGTGCCCCGGGCCAAGCTCGACCAGGTGAGTGAGCTGCCTGGTCTGGTGCCCTAGCAGGCCTAGCACAGAGCCTCCGTGAACAACGGGATTGGCTGGTGCATCCCCTTCCTGTCTCATGCTCTGCCTTTGTCCTTCCACAGGCCCCTAAGGTGCCGCCCACCCCAGAACCGCTACCCCTGAGCACGCCATCAGCAGGCACCCCACAGTCCCAGCCACCTCCATTGCCACCGCCACCACCACCACCCCCTGGCAGTGCTCCCCCAGCTTTGCCCCAGGAGGGACCCTCTGAGGACACCACTCAGGACCTGACACCCAACTCGGTGGGAGCTGCCAGCACCGGCGGTGGGACTGGAGGCACTCACCCTAACACCCCCACGGCTGCCACTGCCAACAACTCCGTGCCTCCGGGAGGAGAACCCAGCAGTGCCTCTGGCCCTGCCCTGCTGGGGGAGGCTGCCCCTACAGCAACAGGGCAGCGAAACCTGGCGGGCTCTGAGGGCCTGTCCAAGGAGCAGCTGGAACATCGAGAACGTTCTCTCCAGACCCTGCGAGACATTGAACGGCTGTTGCTTCGCAGTGGGGAGGCTGAGCCCTTCCTCAAGGGACCCCCAGGAGGTGCAGGCGAGGGCGGGACACCAGCACAAGCTCCACCTACCCCCCAGCAGCCACCCACGGCCCCTTCCAGCGGGCTGAAGAAGTATGAGGAACCCCTGCAGTCCATGATTTCGCAGACCCAGAACTTGGGGGGCCCCCCGCTGGAGCATGAAGTGCCTGGGCACTCCCCGGGTGGAGACATGGGGCAACAAATGAACATGATGATGCAGAGGCTGGGCCAGGACAGCCTGACACCAGAGCAGGTGGCCTGGCGCAAGCTGCAGGAGGAGTACTACGAAGAGAAGCGGCGGAAGGAGGAGCAGATTGGGCTGCACGGGGGCCGCCCTCTGCAGGACATGATGGGCATGGGAGGCATGATGGTGAGGGGGCCACCCCCTCCCTACCACAGCAAGCCTGGGGATCAGTGGCCGCCTGGAATGGGCGCACAACTGCGGGGGCCTATAGATGTCCAAGATCCCATGCAGCTCCGGGGTGGACCTCCCTTCCCCGGCCCCCGTTTCCCAGGCAACCAGATGCAGCGGGTTCCTGGGTTTGGGAGCATGCAGAGTATGCCCATGGAGGTACCCATGAATGCCATGCAGAGACCTGTGAGGCCGGGCATGGGCTGGACTGAAGACCTGCCCCCCATGGGGGGCCCAGGCAATTTTGCCCAGAGCACCGTTCCCTACCCCGGCGGGCAGGGTGAGGCGGAGCGATTCATGACACCACGAGTTCGTGAGGAGCTGCTGAGGCACCAGCTGCTGGAGAAGCGGTCGATGGGCATGCAGCGCCCCCTGGGCATGGCCAGCAGTGGCATGGGGCAAGGCATGGAGATGGAGCGGATGATGCAAGCACACCGGCAGATGGATCCAGCCATGTTCCCTGGGCAGATGGCTGGTGGCGAGGGCCTTGCGGGCGCGCCCATGGGCATGGAGTTTGGTGGAGGCCGGGGCCTCCTGAGTCCCCCCATGGGGCAGTCTGGGCTGAGGGAAGTGGACCCTCCTATGGGGCCAGGCAACCTCAACATGAACATGAATGTGAACATGAACATGAACATGAACCTGAATGTGCAGATGACCCCGCAGCAGCAGATGCTAATGTCACAGAAGATGCGGGGTCCCGGGGATATGATGGGGCCCCAGGGCCTTAGTCCCGAGGAGATGGCCCGGGTCCGGGCCCAGAACGGCAGTGGCATGATGGGAGGCCCCCAGAAGATGCTTATGCCTTCACAATTTCCCAACCAGGGCCAGCAGGGATTCTCTGGGAGCCAGGGACCCTACCAAGCCATGCCCCAGGACATGGGCAATACCCAAGACATGTTCAGCCCTGACCAGAGTTCAATGTCCATAGGCAACGTGGGTACTGCCCGGCTCAGCCACATGCCTCTGGCCCCTGCATCTAATCCTCCTGGGTCCATGCACTCAGCCCCCAACCGAGGGCTGGGCAGGCGGCCTTCTGACCTCACCATCAGTATTAATCAGATGGGCTCGCCAGGCATGGGGCATCTGAAGTCACCCACCCTTAGCCAGGTGCACTCACCTCTGGTCACCTCACCCTCTGCCAACCTCAAGTCACCCCAGACTCCCTCACAGATGGTGCCCTTGCCTTCTGCCAACCCACCGGGACCTCTCAAGTCGCCCCAGGTCCTCAGCTCCTCCCTCAGCGTCCGTTCGCCCACTGGCTCACCCAGCAGGCTCAAGTCTCCCTCCATGGCGGTGCCTTCTCCAGGCTGGGTTGCCTCGCCCAAGACAGCCATGCCCAGCCCTGGCGTCTCCCAGAACAAGCAGCCGCCTCTCAACATGAACTCTTCCACCACCCTGGGCAACATGGAACAGGGTGAGTCAATAGGGCCAGCCAAGCGGGCATTGGACTCTGGTATTGGGAGCCTCTGAGGTGGGTATGTTCCTGCTGGGGCTGGAGGATGAGTTAAGGCATTTGTGCCGGGGGCCAGCAATGGCTGACTCTGCCTGAGGGGCAGCTGTTGGCAGTTGTGTGTGGTTGTTCTCAGGGAGAACAAGGTAAACCCCCAAAAAACCGAAGGGAACAAAACTGAGAATCTCCTCACTGCCCAGGGCCCGGAGGCTGCAGGGATTACTTGAAGATGGGTGGGCTGTAGTGATAATGGGTGGCCTGCTGTTCAGTGGGACATCTGAATAGAGTGTGCTTGGTGGGGTCAGCTGGAGATGTGAGGAGCTGACCTCTTCCTGAACCTCCCACTGTGAGCAGCCAAATTCATCTTCCCCTCCCCAGTCACCCCTGCTCTCTTTCTGTCTCCCCGCTTCTGTAGGTGCTCTCCCGCCTAGCGGCCCCCGGAGCAGCTCCTCCGCGCCTCCTGCCAACCCTCCCAGTGGCCTCATGAACCCCAGCCTACCATTCACTTCCTCCCCAGACCCCACGCCTTCCCAGAACCCCCTGTCACTGATGATGTCCCAGATGTCCAAGTATGCCATGCCCAGCTCTACCCCGCTCTACCACAATGCCATCAAGACCATCGCCACCTCAGACGACGAGCTGCTGCCTGACCGGCCCCTGCTGCCCCCGCCACCACCACCGCAGGGCTCCGGGCCAGGTGCGAGGCCAGGAAGGGGGCCCCAGGGAGACCAGCTGATGTGGGCACTGGGAGTGGGAGAAGCCGGGTGTGGTCAATAGTTGCCCCTTGTGGTCATGCTGGCTTTTGTGCACTTTCTGAGGGCCCCGGGAGTGCGGGTCTGACATCTGTGACATTGCTCCCACTTGCCACAAGCATTTCATGCAGCCAAGCCCAGAGCACTTGAGTGCCCAGGGCAAAATGGGGTCAGAAACTAGATTCTGGCTTCTAGTTGAAATGCCTCAAGTCTCTTCCCTGGCAGCCAGGAAAGGCCAATGTGGTGAAAGCTCTCACCCCTGGCACCCACCTGGCTGGGGTGGGGAAGGGCTGAGTTCTGCACCCTGCCCAAGTTGGGCATGCGCTGTTCCTGACCCTCTTTTCCTCTTTCCCCACAGGAATCAGCAACAACCAGCCCAACCAGATACACCTGAACTCAGCTGCTGCCCAGAGTCCCATGGGCATGAACCTGCCAGGCCAGCAGCCCCTGTCCCATGAGCCCCCACCCACCATGTTGCCCTCCCCTACCCCTCTGGGCTCCAACATTCCACTGCATCCCAATGCACAGGGGACAGGAGGCCCCCCCCAAAACTCAATGTTAATGGCTTCGGGGGGCCCAGACTCCCTGAATGCCCCTTGTGGCTCTGTGCCCAGCTCCTCCCAGATGATGCCCTTCCCCCCTCGGCTGCAGCAGCCTCATGGTGCCATGGCCCCCAGTGGGGGTGGGGGCGGGGGGCCTGGCCTGCAGCAGCACTACCCCTCAGGCATGCCCCTGCCCCCCGAGGACCTGCCTAGCCAGCCGCCAGGCCCCATGCCCCCCCAGCAGCACCTGATGGGCAAAGGCATGGCTGGGCGAATGGGTGATGCGTATCCACCAGGCGTGCTCCCCGGGGTGGCGTCAGTGCTGAACGACCCTGAGCTGAGCGAGGTGATCCGGCCCACCCCGACGGGGATCCCTGAGTTCGACTTGTCGAGGATCATTCCCTCCGAGAAACCAAGCAGCACCCTCCAGTACTTCCCCAAGAGCGAGAATCAGCCCCCCAAGGCCCAGCCCCCCAATCTGCATCTCATGAACCTGCAGAACATGATGGCGGAGCAGACTCCCTCACGGCCCCCCAACCTCCCAGGCCAGCAGGGCGTCCAGCGGGGCCTCAGCATGTCCATGTGCCACCCCGGACAGATGTCCTTGCTGGGCAGGACAGGTGTGCCCCCACAGCAGGGCATGGTGCCCCATGGCCTGCACCAGGGGGTCATGTCCCCACCACAAAGCCTCATGACCCAGCAGAATTTCATGCTGATGAAGCAGCGCAGTGTGGGGGGCGAGGTCTACAGCCAACCCCCTCACATGCTCTCCCCACAGGGCTCCCTCATGGGCCCCCCGCCCCAGCAGAACCTCATGGTGTCCCACCCCTTGCGGCAGCGCAGTGTGTCTCTGGACAGCCAGATGGGCTACCTCCCCGCGCCGGGTAGCATGGCCAATCTGCCCTTCTAGCAGTCCCTGCGGGAGGCTGCAGCTGGGGGCAATATTGCAAATACGAGAACCTTAACAAAATTTCTTCCCCTCCAGTGTTGGGATGGCCTGGGTCGAGGGGTGGGGTGGAGGGGGTGGGAGGGGGCTTGTGTTGGGAGTGGCATTTGTGGAAACCAGACGTGCCGGCAGCTTAGGGGGAAGTGGTAGAGTGGGGTGGGGGAGGGGAGGGCAGATTTTGGATTGGGGTTGTGTTCCATTTCGGCCACCAGGACTGCCCCCTTTCCCACTCAGTCCAGTTCCTATGGAGCCTCTATTCCCCTTTCGTCTCTCTGCACCCGCCCTCCCTCAGCTAGGCTTTCAGAGCCGCCTCCGTCTCTTCCTCCTCCTCTCTTGTCTCTAGAGCTCCGCTTCCCTCCTCCTCTTGCTTCTCTGTCCCCACCTGCTTTTCCTTCTGTCTTTTCCTGCCTCATTTCCTCTCCCTGCTGATGTGGCTGACCCCCTCTCCTACCCCTCCCTGCAAGCGGCTGGCCAGGTGGGCAGGTGCCAGCCGGAGCTGTAAATAGAGCGCTGCGCTTTTGTGCCGGTTTGTGTGTGTGCTGTATTTCTGTGTTTTGATAGAAGTCAAAGAAGGATAAAAGAAACCCTCCCCCCAACCCCGCTCCCCGTCTTCAGACTGTGGCCCCTTCCATTCCCCTGGACCCAGGGACATGCTGTCTTACACGCCCACCCCACTGTTTGCAGTGTCTCTGGGTTAATAAAGGATACCATTCGTGTCCCCTACCCAAGTGGTAAAATGACATCGATGCCTCACACCTAAATTGAAATCAGACCATCTAGGCTTTCACCTGGCGAGCCCAGCAGGGCTGAGACCCCAGGGCAGCAGCCTGTCTGCTGCTGAGTGATGATTCAGGGAGTACACGTGTGCGCCGGCACTGGTGTGTGCTCCACGCGGTGACATGGAGCCCTGGCTTTCCAGCTGTGGGCATCTGGGTGTCCCCTGCTGCTGCTAAATTTTAGCCAGTAAGATGAAGCCTTTTGTCCCCAGTCTGGGATGAAGGAAGGGAGGAAGAGGAGGTGGCTGTGTGGCCCCCTTGAGTGGAGCCGTGGAGGTGGGTGGCATGGTGCCACTGAGCCTGTGGTGGCCAAGATGGTCCTGTGCCTGCTGCAGTAGCCCTCGGCCAGGTAATCTCCAGGGCCCTGGCTCTGCCAGAGGCTGCCACCTACTTCTCACAAAAGGAGGAAGGAAGAGGGTTTGACTGAGTCAGTCTGCCTTCCCCCCAGCCTCCACCCCTGAGAAAGGAATCAGGGAAGTGTTGGAGGAGGGGGGCAGGGGAGCTTCCCACTGCCTCTCTCTGCCTGGCAAGGTCCCTATGCCCAGGGCTCAGGGTGCATACTAGGTCTGCCTGCCCACCCAGGCTCAGCCACTGCCTCCCCCTCAGCCCCCTGTTCTTCCCAGAAGAATTCCCTGCCACCTCTGGTCAGAGCTGAAGCCATACACAACTGGGTGTTTTGCCCCCTTGGCCCCAGGAGAAAAAGACTTCTTTTCTCACTTCCTTTCCTGCCTTGCGAGAAGGCGGTGGGGCAGTTCCCTGGCTAAGGCCTTTAGCGCCCCGCCTCCTGGGCCACAGGCCCTTTCTAGACAGGGTGTCTTCTGCCATGGCCTCCATCCCCAGTCTTTTTGACATGCAGGGCCCTGGCTCGCATTGGCAGCTGTAACACAAAGGGAATTTGCCCCACTTCTCCCACGTATGGTGCTGTCCTCAGTCCACCGTCAGCCAGGTTGCGCTCTTCTGGGCTGGCTGCAGGTTCCTGCCTTCCCCAGCACCTCCCAGGGGCCAGGGCCAGGGCCAGGCCCTCTGTATTTGGGGGCCACCTGCCCTCCATCCTGCCAGGCATTTTGCCCGCCCTGCCTCAACCTGGGCCCTGTGCCCATGAGGCCCCTCCCACCCCTGACCTGAGACTCCTCAAACTGTCTGACACTTGTGTTTCCTGCCCTGAGGAGAGGGGTCAGACCACAAGGGCCCAAGCCCTCCCCACCCCGCTCTCTACCACCTCCACCACCAGACTAGCTTTCCAAGGTGAACTCCACAGGCCAGCCTACTCCCTTCCTCCATTCACGGCCATACCCCCAGCCATTTTGTACCATTATATAAATATATATATAAATATAAATATATAAATACAATATGTGAAGACATCTTCTTGGTTTTTATTTTGAAACAATTTTTAGGCTTGTTCCGGGGGTCTCTGTGCTGCCTGTACTGTATTGACCTGTTTTATAGGTGCCTTTTTATTAAAAAGAGAAAATTCAAAATCCAGCCTCTTGCCTTTTTGCTTATGTGGCTAACTCCTCCAGCCCAGCTTGCTATTGGATGCTGGGAAGAAAAGGGGACCCCAGGGCTTCCCAGTGGTCTGCGACGAAGGCATAGCCCCAAGGTCCCCAGCTCTGATTTCCCTAGTGGGTGCCTCCCAGGGAGCTTGACTTATTGGCTTGACTGGGACTGGGCAGCCCAGATCTGGCCCTGACTGCCCTCGCCACCCCAGATCCGAGGCTGAGGAGGAGGGAGGGATTGCCCAGAACTGCCTGACAGCGCGGAGCAGCTTCCTCTGGTTCCATCTGAGTAGTATCCTCTCAGGGCAGGGCTTCCTTGGGGGCCTGGGGACTTCCCAGCCCAGGTCTTCACTCACACTGCCCTGCCTAAGGCGAGACCCAGAGGGACTGAGCTCTGGGCTTGGCCTGCAGACGGGGCGATGAGGTGACTCCCAGAGGCCTCCCCACCCCCCAGCCCCTGGCTCTTTTGACTCCTTTCACCTCAGGGGTCTACATCCCTATTCTGCCTCTTGGCCGAGCACTCCCTCTCCTGTAGTCTGAGACCCCTCTACTGCTCTAGGAGTTCCCTCTGCCCCTCTAGCTTATGGGGAGGGGTTGGGAAGGACGATGAGTCTGCCCAGAACCCACCAGCATTCTGGATCCGGCCTACTCTGAGAGTTCTCTGCCCCATCTCCACCTCCATTCCGGGCAGAAGAAACAGCTGAGTTCCCTTTATACTTGTCTCTCTTTAGGGCTGGGGAATGGGGATTTCTTTCCCATATTGGGCCTCTCCTTTGCTGGCTCAGCCTTGGTTCTTTGCCAGGACACCAGCTGTGCCGCTGAGAACACCTGGAGTCTGCCTCAGCCTGCAGACTTGCCGGGCCCCCTGAGAGTCCGGCCCAGCACTGGTGTGGTCAGAGCCAGGGGCCGCTACCCTAACAGAGCTTCCAGTCTGAGCTTCCTGCTTAGTCAAATGGCTGCAGGGCTAGGGGCCTAGCAGAATGTCTGTGTTCATCAGGGACTGAGATGTGTCAAGACCACACTCCCTTGTCAGCTTGCCTTACCTCGGCCCCAACCTCCATCTATCCCCTGGTGCTCAGCTTCTCTTGGCTTCATTCAGCTGGTGGGATATGAGGAGAGGTGGGTAGCTGTGGAGGTCAGAGGCCCATAAAATGATGGAGTCCATTCTGGAAGGGGCTTGACTTTCCCTATTGGCAACAGTAGAAGTAAAAGTTGTTTCCTGAGCTCTGGATGGTTAGGATGAGAGAAGGTGTGTGGTGGCCTTTCAGCCCAGAGTGATGCAGATGCGCACAGGTAGAATTTGCTTTGCCTTTGGGCTACTTTCCCCTCCCTGGGCTCCAGCCTAGCCATGGGGCTGAGAGAAGCACTGGCAGGGATGTCCTAGAAAGAGGGGTTGACTCATCCAGTTCCCCTATATGAAGATGCTGGCCAAGGTGAGCTCTGAGGAACCCAACTCCTGTTGAAAGGGGTTCCAGAGTCACTGCATCCATGCAAGGAAAGCAGAAAAAAAAGGGGATGCTGGGACTTAGAAGGTGGTGAGGGAAGTGGCATTCTCTGACTCAGAGAGACTGCTCTTGCGCCAACTTGGGAAGAGCTGGCAAAGGGAGGAGGAGCCGGCACAGCCCAGCTTGGTGAGAAGCCGAGACAGATCACTGCGGAACTTCACACCGGCGAAAGTGTAGAGCACAGGGTTGAGGCAGCAGTGGGCCAGGCCCAGGAACTCACTCATCGTGATGGCCACAGAGAGATAGCCATTTAGTTCACACCTACTGCCCACGGCCTTCAGCCTCACCAGGGTGTCCAGGAAGATGATGATGTGGTAGGGAGACCAGCAGAGAAAGAAGACACTTGTCACCAGAATGGCCACCCTGACCGCCTTCTGCCTCTGAGGGCGCCGTTGGGCCTGGCACAGCCTGTGCACCACCCCCACGTAGCACCAACCCATCACCAGCATGGGCAGCAGGAACCCACCGACATGGTAGAGGAAGCGGGAGATGAACCAGGCGTTGCTTTCTGCTTGGTTCTCTTGGGAGAAGATGCAGCGTGGCAGGGAGTTGTTGTGATGCTGTTGGCTGACTTTGGCAAAGAGAAGCTCTGGCAAGGCAAAGAGGAAGCCCGCCAGCCAGATGGTGGCACAGGTGATGTGGATGGAGAGGAGACGGCGGTGGCGGTAGGCGTGGACAGCATGGACGATGGCCAGGTAGCGGTCCACAGCAATGCAGGCTAGGAGCAGGCTGCTGCAATAGAAGTTGACCTTGTGCAGAGCTATCACAGTTTTGCAGAGGAAGGTGCCCAGGACCCAGCCCACAGAGCCCTCGGCCACAGCAAAGGGCAGGATGAAGACTAGCAGGAGGTCAGCCACTGCCAAGTGGAACAGGAAGGTCTCCGTGGAGCTGCGTGTCTGCCGGTGACGCTCCAGGATCACCAGCACCAGGATGTTGCCCATCATGCCCAGGAGGAAGATGAGGCCATAAGCCACAGGCATGAATGTGGCCTTGAAGGAAGCCAGTAGGGGCCCCTCAGCTGTAGAGCAGAAGTAGTTTTCCTTCGGGGACACCGTGCTGTCACTGTAGTTGCTGAATTCCTTGTACTGCAAGGACAAGGGAGACAGTAGGGCAGGAAAATGAGGACCTGGTCTTTCCTCTCCGAGAGGAACCCTGACTCCCTTATTGCATTTTCGTATCTCTCCTACTCCTCCAGGATAACTGCTTTTGTCCCTTCGCTCCCCATTTGTGCCACTGACCAAATCCCAATTTTCCTTTGTGTATCTTTGGACAAATCACTTTGCTTTGTCCAACTTTAGTTTTCTCATCAGTAAACCAAACCAGTTGCCGTTGACTCAACTTTGACTCATGGCGAGCCCATGCGTGTCAGAGTAGAACTGTGCTCCACTGGGGTTTCCATGGCTGATTTTTCACTAGGCCTTTCTTCCAAGGCATCTCTGAATGGATGCGAACCTCCAGCCTTTCGGTTAGCAGCCAAGTGTGTTTACACCACTCTGGGACTCCTTCTTATAGGTAAAATGGACTAATTCCTCCCAAGGCAGTGAAAGATGAAAGGAGATATATGCATGGTGTGGATGTACTTTGTAAACTCAGAAGTGCTGTGCACCTCTTATTTTGTGTGTCTATATGTCCTCAGGTATGGGAGGCTGCAGGCCGAGGTGGAATCAGGGCTTAATTTTGGGAAAGGATCTGGGTGGGATGAGGAGCCATCTGTTACTATTCTGAAGAGAACAGTCCAGTGGGCACTGAAGCCTGGATCCTACTGGGTAGGGAGACTAATGGGACCTGCTGGTTTCCTCTTGATGTGCCCCCTATTCCTGACTGTGTTCATTACGGCTGCAGTTGTGGTAATAGCCTCCTATTTACTGAGGACACCAGTCATCCTGCCAGGTGCTTTTTGGGCCTCATTTAATCTCTAAAACAAGCTCAAGGCATGTAATATTATTCCTGTCTTACAGAGCCTAAGAGTGCAGAGCTGGCAAATTTCAGGTTTGTTGGAACCCACCTTTGTCTACCTCCACTGCACAGCCCTGCCTGGACGTCCCCCTGACACTACTGGGGAGAGCAATGGATAAATTGTTCCCTGCTACTTGCCGTGACTAATAAAACCCCTTCTGGCTCTCAGCCCACAGCAAGGGGAGCTTCAGAAAGCCAGAGAGAGGCAGCAGGAAGGAAGGGCACACAGGGAGACCCAGGCACAGGGCTGAGGGAGGGAACCTGTTCCAAGTGAAGGGGGCGTGCCTGCTGTGTCTCCGGAAGTCTCCCTCCCTCCCCTCTCTAGCCACTCCCCCCACCCCCCAGCACTCAGGTTGTTTACCCAGCTAACCACAAAGGAAGACATGGTGCTTGTTTTCATACCTTTCACTCACAGCTGTCCCATTGCACCTGCTCCTGCTCCTCCCCAGCTCTGTTCTTCCCACTCCTCCCTAGCCAGCCCCCTCCCCACAGCAATTCAAAACCAATTATCTAGCCAAATGATGTGGGTTCAAAAGACCATTCTGTAAACAATGAGTCCCAGGGAGGCAGAGGATGGGATGGGGTACTCTTCCCCCCAGCCTCTGGGTGGTCTCATGCTGCTGTCCTTCCAGAAGAGGAGGGTCCTGGGTGACCCCCAAGCAGGGGATGGTTGCACTGGCTACCCACAGGGCTCTCTTGCTACCCAGGGGCCCTGGTTGTGGGTCACACACTCACTCTCAGTGGTGGGCAGACCCATTCCCCAACCTGGACCTTTCCTTTCTGGTACCTGGGGCAGGCAGCTCTGTGAGAAGAGGGTAGGGGATCCATTAGTGCAATGGCTGCTCCCCCAGCCAATATCCCTCTGCCTTCTTCACCCTAATGCTCAGGACTCTCCTTATGCTCTCTCCATGGGCTCCATGCCTGCCGACTTTGCTCCACTTCTACCTATCTATCTATCTCCTACGTGGAGGACAGGGTGACTTTTCCCACACACAAGTCCCATCCCATCAGTGTCCTACTTAAAGTCCTTCGCTGGCTCCCCGTCACCTATAAACAGTGGTTTTCTTTTTATATCTTTTTTTTCAATTTCACATTCTCTAGTCAATTATAGGAAAAAGTCATGTTGTCATAAAATTTCATCAACAGAAGATTGGAATAAGCCCTTCTTAGTGCATTCCTACGACAGAATACAATGCAGTGCTCCAAAAGAAATAGGGTTTATCCATATGTTCTCTTAGGGAAAAATGTTAAAAAACATATTGCTAAATTTCAGAACCAATTGCAGAGTATCACAGACAGCCTGATCTCGCTGACTTTCTTTGAAGAGTGCCCATGGTTATGTGTTTATCACAAGGTGTTCCTGGGTCAGAGTGGGGCTGGAGGAGGCTCCAGCCTTCCCTCTTTCCTTTAAACCAGAGCTCTCTGCTTTTGTCTCATGCGTTGTTTCACACATAAGCTTTTGAGGAAATGGTTCTGTGGCTCAAAAAATCTTTTGAAAACCATGGGCCTGCAGGGTGAGGTCTAAACTCCACAATGGAGCCTTCTATTTAATTACTTTAGGCACCCTACCCTCCAGATATATCCTTCTACCGGCTGCCAACCCCAACACCCCACCATTCGTAGCCCCAAAACTTTGCTTAGACTCTTCCTTTTGCCAGGCAGGACTTTCTTCCCAAGTTTTGCCAGTTTAATTCCTACTCTTCCTTCAAAGCCCAACTCTATGCCACTTTCCTACATCCTTCCTAGCCCTCCCCACTTAGAATGACATTCTCTTATCTCAAAACATTAAGTGTGCCTTTATTATAGCACTCAGGGCTGGGATGTCCATTTCCTCATTAGATGGCGAGCTCCTGGACTCAGGCCTTTTCTATCCCCCTCACAAGGCCGTGTGTTTTACACATGACAGACATGTAACACATGTTTACGGGACTGCTCTGGAAGAAGCTTCCACGAGAGAGCCAGGGACCTTTATATTCTGGGACTCTCTCTGCACCTCAGAGGGACTCAGACACTCCCATATGGCCTTCTTCCGTTCTTGCCTCCTCCCTATACCCCTGACTGCCTGGAACCTACCCTTGGGCTCTCTCTTGGTATCGGGAGCTATTCCCAATATTGTCATTGAACACAGCCATTTGTCTCATCTTGGAATTTAGAAGGAGTTAAAGGGAGAAAACAGTGGGGTTAGCAGCCTCTAGGAAGAGCAAAGCAATTCAGGCCGAGGGAGGAGAGATGCAGTTAGCAGGGCTGGATTCCACCTTCCTCAGCAGGTTGTCCCACTCCCAGTGGAGGGCTTAGGTCTTGCCAACCTGGCTGCCCCAGAAGGCCCTTTATGAGAACCCCTCAAGTCCTTGTCCTCCAAAGCATCCAGGCTGATTGGTTTATTACTCATTTAAAGTCAGCACAATGGGACATCTCCCTATGGCTCTAGAGTCCCCATCTCCTGAGAACCCAGAGTGGGGTTTCGAGGGAACAGCTTACTGCCCCTTCTTCCTTGCCAAGAGTTATTTATTTGACAAAGTGGTCAGGCAGAGAGGGGAAGATGGCAGGAAGCTTGTTCGTGGGGTGCTGAAAGCTAGCAGTACAGCTTAGCAGGAGGTGTCAAACAGAAATTTTAGGGGCTCGGGAGTGGTATGTGTTAAAGCCACTTCCCATACACAGGGGATCAGGCACCCCCACCCTATCCCAAATCATGGAGAGAGCTAATAAAGCAAGGCTGGCTCTGGCCTGGCAAGAAGTTGAGAAATCGAGACTCCTGTGGTGCAAAAGGGAGCCCTCCAAGACTCACAGCCAGAGGAGCACAGTGTGGGCAATTGGGATGAGTAACTCAGTCTTTGATGTAAAAATCTGCAGAAACCCAACACCTTCATGCACATACATTCTGACAGCAACATGCACCCTGTGTAGATGCAGACTTGTGCCAAATGGGCCCATGCCAACATGTGGCACCCAGTGGACAGCAAGCTACACATAGACCAGGGACTCCTGCCCCAAAGAGGGCAAGAAAACCCAATGACCAGAATGAAGCTGAGCATGGAGCCAGGAGTCTAGTTAGGAAATGGTGGGAGCACTGGGAATGGGGGCAGGAGGAGGGGCTGGCACAGTGCCCTGGTATTGAGGTGCCAGGAGGGGGAGAAGGGGTGAAGAGATGCTAAGCGGTGGGATCCACATATTACTCTTCTCCTTTCCCCCTCTGGCTTTCCCTTCTTTCCTTCCTTGGGAGCCACTTTAGGACCCCGGCTCCTCCCTGAATAATTAAAGTCCCTAAGCCCCTCTGACTTCTCCAAATAACAAAGTTGCCTCACTGCCCTGCACTGGCCACATGAAGCCAGGAAACGTTTGCTGACTGGGATTCTACATCAGCAGGTGTGTGTGGGGGGTGGGGGTAGGGTGGGAAGCGGTGTTTCTGGGGCATTCCTCAGAGACTTGTCCTGGATACCCTCCTCTTTGCATTCATAGCCCTGTCTTGGCTGAGGACGTGGGTGAGGTCTGAGCACATTTTCAGACAATGCAGTGTTCTCCACAGGCTGGAGCTATGGGCCCAAACTAACCCAGTGGAATTGCATGGGGGAAAATATGGAGACCTGAACTCAGGTTTCAAACATCAGCTGTCCAGGAACAAGTTAGGGAAGACCTGGCTTAACAATAGTTCAGGAGAAAAAGACCCAGGAGTTTTTGACTGCAAA